AAATTACGGCTCTATTTAAATTTTTCTAATGGAAACCTGTACTATTCCTTCCTTATTATAAACCACACGAATGCTTTGGCTGTGACATTACACAGAATCCCAGAATCCACAGCTAAAATCAAATCAATTCAGAGAGTGTCTCACAGGGAAGCTTATGGAGGGGAAGGTGCACAATCATTGTTACTTGGTTCATTTCATTTTAAAACGTTTTAAAACATTGACAAATGCCTAATAGGTTAAAATTGTCATACTTTGCAGTATGTATTTTATTTTGTTGAAGAGTAACGAGGGTCTTTCCAGTTATTAAGCACACTTTCAATGGTTGTCAGGCTTCTGTTTTTAGAGCCATTTGCCAGATCATTTTTAGATTTTTCGTTCATAAACATTCATCTCCTGTTTTAAGAGCAGTATCATAAACTGATAAAAAAAAAAAGATTTTGGTGGACATAGTGGAGTGGAAGGCTTGTATGTCATGGCTGTTTTATTGGGCCCATGCTACACAGATATAGGCCTAATTAGGGGCCAAGCACCCAAGGTGTGAGGCACCTATTGTAATGGTTTGAATTTTTCACAATTAATATTATACTTTCTGCCATGGGAGTCTATGGCAGCCCATAGAACCCCTTGGTGGAATTTGATGAAATTTGGCACAGTGATAAAGGACAATCCAAAGTATCCAGTTTGGGGACAATATCCGTCTCTGCAGTGCCACCAACAGGCGAAATTTCAAGGTACATTTTTTTCCTTATAACTTTTGAATCGTTTGTCCAAGGGTCAGGTGGCACGGTGGCGCAGTGGTTAGCACTGTTGTCTTACAGTATATCTCTGGGTTCAAGTCTCAGCCATGGTTCTGTGTGGAGAGTTTACATGTTCTGAGCAGAGTCATGCTGTGAGTCCATGCTTCTGTGAGGATGAGCAGAATCATGCGGTGAGTCTAGGTTTATGTGAGGATGAGCAGAATCATGTCTGTGCTTTTAATCACTCAGAGTGTGATGATGATGGTGTGTATGTGTGTGTCTGCATGTATATGTGTGCATGTGTGTGTGTATGTACAGTATGCATGCATGTGTGTGTGTGTGTGTACTGAATGAGCATTTGAAAGGAGGATGGATGGATGGACAGAGAGTTGCAGTTTGCCCATCAGGGATCAGTTACATTTATGGGGGTAGCCAGAGATGGGTTTGCCCTTTCTGGGGCCCCATAACCAAAAGACAAATGAGAGAGAATTACAAACAATGTGGTAAATGAGAGGCTAAAGACTTCCAACTAAGGCGTAGTATGAGGGGGTAATAAATCTTAGCAACTGGGGGAGGGGATCAGTGCCGGCGGACCCATGGACCACGTATCAATGTGGGGTGGTAACAGGGGTGGCCACATATTTATAAGATAGTGGCAGGCAATAAGCAGCTCCCCTCTCACATGGACAGCAAGGCATGTGACATGCTTCACGTCCCAGGGCTTGGAGTAATGAGGCAGCCACCCCAGATGCTGTCCTCCTGCATCCGCGTGGGCATTGGTTCAGAGCCCAACCCACCCATGTCACTCTGTTGCTCTCCCTGTGCCAGCACGAGAATATCCCACAGTGCATTCATCAAATGCTGTGACTTTATAATTCTGTTTATGGAACCATTGGCACTTTTATGTTTTCTTTTATTTATAACCATTTTATTTGATCGATTGTTATATATCTCGCACTTTCTGTCCTTTAATTGCGAGCTTCATACATAATAGCTTGATGCATGTTGCCAATAGTAATGTGGCTGCAGAATGATTTTTATAAGAACCAATAATGTATTTTATAGCAGATATAGCCATACAGGATCGTTGAAAAGCCGCACAAAGCAAGTTGAGCCTCTGTCTTTACTCTGATTTACGGCACGTCAGTATCTCGCTTGATTAGTCTGGCCAAACAACCCCCTCTAGTGATTGTAAGGAGCACAATTGAAATCCCTGCTTTATAGAATAATTAGTGACAAGGGATGCACTGATGAGAGATAGCTAAATAAATGTACCTTCTGTCCCTGCAAACGAACAGTGTGAATCTCAGTTTTGGGTAAGTTCAGTCATTTAAAGTGCATATGTAAGTTTACCCCAATTCTCTCTTAATTAATGACTAAGTAAATGATTGTATTGTCATGTACTTTGAATAATCAACAGTCTTGATATTAGCACAAATGGAAAGAAAGCAAGTTCCAGTCTGAACATTATACTCGATGTGGTGACAGTACATCGATGTCACACTTGTAAAGATTTGATAAGACCTCAGTATGCTTCTAAAATGTATTTTCCTGACATAGCGAATGCGATGTGATGCAATGTGTGAGACGGAAATTCAAAAGGAAGGGAAGCTGTGAATTTGTCAGATTTAATTATCATTGCTGGCATCTCAGACTCTTCTCTGTCTGTGGCATTAGAGGCATCTTATAAATGTTAGCATATTATTATGGGGCATTAGTGGGGCCTTGGTCCTCCTCTTCCAGATCACACGTGTCAGTGGTATCTGATCAGCTGGCCCATGTTTTAAACAGACATCAGCTGTGGGAAAAAAACAGCTTCTCTGCTCTGTATAGCAATTGCTTGCTATGTCTCACCGAGTGCTAATTGTTAGCATGTGAAAAACATGGCTGCCCTTTCATCGCCCTGCCTTGCAAGGTGTAGCACCTGACCTCCCCATTGATTCTACAATGAGGGCGAAATGTAGTAGGATTACTAAAACAGATATTTTGTTAGCAGACCTGGCAAGTCACATCTCTCCAAGATACAATACTCCAAGATAAATTACTCCAGAATAAAGCACTCCAGAATAAACTACTAGAGGATAACATACTCCAAGACAAAGTATTCTAAAATCATGTATTTCAAGATGAAGTAATCCAGCATAAAGTACTCCAAGATAACGGACTCCTACTCTGTGACCACTTGTAGTCTTATTTTGTAATATAGTTCCTGTACCTTAGTAATTTCTCCAAATTTCTCCCAGCCTATCGCCACAGGTGGATATTTTGCACAGACTGGTTTTCTAAGTCACTAAATTTCTGGTTGATTGCAGGAAGTTTTTCACTGGCAAGCTGCAGTTGGAGCTGCAGCCTGACTGGCTTAATTCCATCTCATCCTCCCTCGAGCTGCAGCCTGACTGGCTTAATGCCATCTCATCCTCCCTCGAGCTGCAGCCTGGTTGGCTTTACACCATCTCATCCTCCTTTGAGCTGCAGCTGCAGCCTGGCCTGATCCGCCATCCATCCGCTCGGAGACGCCGCAACTTCCGCTGACAGCCACACACCAGAGGAAGAAAAAGAAGCGAAAGGAGGGGAGACCAGATGAAGCTCCGACAATCTTCCTGGGGGGGGGGGCCTCTCACTCTGCAGCTTCTCTCCCTGCCAAATACTGGGAGGAACCCCTCCCAATCCAGGATTCGGCAGGGCTCACCCCGGACATCAACGCCGCTTCATGAATAGGGACCTATAGTAATCCTTTCTGATTGTAGAGCTTAGGTTGTGACTTTCAGTGAATCCCAAAATTCACAGCTATATCCAAAACATTCAGTTAATGTCATACAGGTAAACTGATAGAAGGAAAATGCGAGGAATCTTTGTTATGTGGTTTATTTTGTTTTAAAAAATTTCCAGACTGCTCAGAGGTTAAAAATATCGAACCCCGCCACGGACCTCCTGCAACCCAGAATAAGACAAGCGGTTTCATTCAGAAGGAGATGAATGAATTTGCAATATTTATTTTATTGAAGGTTAATACCTTAGAATGAGGATCGTTCCAGTTATTAAGTACGCTTTCAATGGGCTGTCAGGTTTCCGTTTTTAGAGCCATTTGCCAAATAGATTTTAGATTTAGACAGTTTTTTTGTCCCTAAACATCCACCTTCAGTTTTGAGAGCAATGTCATGAACTGAACTTAAAACTTAAAAAATAGTCTGTTTGTGGACATAGTGCAGTGAAGCACTTTTGTTGCAGCTGCTTAATTTGACCCATGTGACACAGATATGGACATGATTTATTTTGTCTTGATTTTTCAATTCTTCTGTTTGGAATAAAGAAGAATTCTACACTGAATAGTTGTAGTCGTGTATTTGTAAACAGGCAAGGAAACCTTGTATTTGGTAACACTTTAATTTGCACTTTCATAATGCATTCATAGAACATTCATAAGCAGCACGTACGTATACTTTAACATCCTACCATGCCTCAACAACTTTAATACACATTAATAACAAGCATTATATGATAATAACAAACATTATAATCATATTATGTTCATTACTAATGTATATTAAAGTTGTCAAGCTATACTTACATGCTGCTTATGAATGTTCTATAAATGCATTATGAAGGTGCACTGAATGTCCTATGAATGTATTATAAAGGCATTATGAAAGTGCAGTTAATGTAAAGCATTACCCTCTGTTTTAATAAGTGTGTGGTACATGGAGTGGCACAGGGGTTATCACTGACGCCTCACACCTCTGGGCCTGGGGTTTGAGTCTCCATATGTGTGAAGTATGCATGTTCTCCACATGTCTCCTCCAGGTTCTTTGGTTCCCCCTACAGTCTGAAAACATGCTCTAGTTAATCAGACCAAATTGGCTGAATTGTCGGGTGTGAACCCCTCGCTGGGTTATTCCCTGCCTTGCATGCATAGGCTCTGGATTCATAAGTGGGCCGAGCAGGTATAGAACATGGATGGGCATCTCACATGTGGCTTACATTTACAACTCAACATTTACCCCACTTGATAGAAAGTACTGAGACTGTGTGTTGCTATTCTGCCTAAATATTTCTGGCCCATATCGCACAGCTTCCTGTTATATCTCATGGGGAACGGCTTTGCACTGCTATTCATTTATTACACTTTTGTTTATCTAGTCACATGACAGTGAAGCCAGAAGGCTCACCGTTTCTTCTCCTCTTCACGGTGTGCGCAAGAACACTAAAGAAAATTCCACTGAGGAAACCAATCGATTAATCACAATACAACAGCAGTACAAGCTACTGTGCTTTATTTGTCCACAGTGTACACAGGGTACATTGATTTCCAGAATAAGTAACATTCTTAATAAAATTCTACCTTTATTAAAAGAAATATCTTTGGTGAGTGCAGTTATTGACTAATACAGTATATAGTGATCCCGGTTACATCACTGAAGATGTGTCCAGGTTGCACCACAAGGCGTATTTCAGTACTATTAAAAGCAAAAAAAGCGTATAGTAAGAGGGAAATGATCGAGTTATGACACAAGTGGCTCCTATTGCTTCTGACATATATTCATGTGCATACACCTTTAACTGAGCTGTGGGTGAGGTGTACAGTTTATTGCTGATCCTGGTGTCTGTTATGGGTTTGCTGTTCTGAGTTCATTATTTAGTAGCTGGGCCGGTACGACAGCTTTCCCCTGGGACAGGATCTGCAGAACGGATTTCCTGAAATATAATATTATTATTATTATTATTATTATTATTATTACTACTACTACTACTACTACAATAAATATAAGATATAGGAATCAAGTTCCCACCCATTCACTTTCATATTGCTAATACCAACATAATTTAGGCTTACATTATGCAAGAAAGGAAAGTTATTATCATTATCAAAATCTCAGTTTTGTTTTGCCTTAAGACATGTATTTATTCTGCTGTTCTCACTTCTAACAAGGAATTGTTTTGTTAATCATACCGTAGTTAAGTTTGAGTTGCATAGTAATATATGGTACCAAAGCTCTTACACTGATTATCTGAAACAAGAATCTTGTGCTTAATTAAAAACTCTAAATCGACAAGATAGGTGATCCCAGGTGATTTGTATTGCAGTGGGTGTTTTTCAGGTTTATTTAATTGCTAGGTAAAAAAAACAGAAACACATTGAGGGAAACTTTGATATTGTGTTATTCTTTGTTCAATAATGATGATTAAATGGAAGCAATGTGTTGGCCAGGTGTTTCCGTATTGGAAATGATGTCTGCTGTTTGCAGAATGAGCTTTGTTTATGAGTTATCAGCTACATGTGTGAAAATGTTTGGTTATTAAAAACGCATATAAATCATATTCACATGCTATTTGTCCTGACACTGACTTACCCGGTTCTGTGGTGGAAGTTCTGCTGGATAGATCTGGAGCATAAGAAAGAACAAGGAATGTGAAAAGATACCTCATCCTGTCAATGACGTAATTTTAAAGGTGCAAAGGTCACTAAACTACTAAAGGTTCTAAAGCTAAATGAGGGTGGTGTGTGACATTTTATCAGATTATCAAGACTGGAGCTCTACGTTCGCCCTGCTATTTTTCAGCACTTCATCCATCTATCCATTCATAACCCTTTATGCAGTACTGGGTCACAGAGAGCTTAGAGTCTGTCTCCACACACAGATGTCAGGTGACACCTTGGGTCCCAGCCCATCGCAGACCACCCTTGTTTCTGTGTTATGAATGTGGGGCAGCCATTCTCATGCTTGTTATTCACAACTCATAGCACATAGAAAAAATCTAGAAGGATCGCTCTCTTTCCCCTCCTCACAATATTTCTATTTCGAGAACGACGTGTTAGATTTGATGGAAGTGTACCCCTGAAATGAATGGGAACCTTATACGGTTCAATTATGTTTTGCACCAAACTGCACAAATGCCATGAGACCTGAGGTTAGTCTCTCACAAGATACTCAACACACCCAATGAGTCTGAGTCACCCCGGGGGCTGAAGTCAGTCTCTCACAAGGTACTCAACACACCCAATGAGTCTGAGTCACCCCGGGGGCTGAGGTTAGTCTCTCACAAGGTACTCAACACACCCAACGAGTCTGAGTCACCCCGGGGGCTGAGGTTAGTCTCTCACAAGGTACTCAACACACCCAAGGAGTCTGAGTCACGCCGGGGGCTGAGGTTAGTCTCTCACAAGGTACTCATCATGCGAGCACCTCGTTTTTCACAAAGAGGCCCACAGTAAGTTGCCTTGCACTCATTTATCTTCACTCTATTTCCTACTAATATTTACAGACAGCCAGGCATTGAGACCCAGAGGGTGATGCCCTGGACCAGGCTGGGTGTTCCTTGATGGCCGTCTTCAGTGCTGGTCATCTGTAACACATTTTCGAGCAGGACTGCTACACTAGCTTCATCCCGTCTCTCCTCAGGCTACATCTGAAGCCAGTCTGCCATCATTGTATTACTATCCACATCATTATTGGATGATGGTCTGAATGATCAAAAAGAAGGCTGATTACACTTAGCACGGTAACGCCGGGGATGATTGCACACGGTGCTTGTGAAGCACAAACGATCCCCACTGATTGCAAACAGCCTTTCTGATGTACTAATCTAAGGGCTGAATGTTGGAGCCCCTGAGAACCCCTAAGTGATTCTGATATTAAGAATAAAATTACCCCTGGTGCATTATGTACATCAGCTGGGGGATCCAATGACATCATCTCCAATGCGCTGCTTAAATTACACTTTTCTGCACTAATGAAGATGCAGAGCAATGGCACAAGGGCAAGACTTCTCTAGGGCTTATGTTTAATTGCATAAGCACTCTCTGATGGGTTTGCGTGATGTGGGCTGCACATGCTGGGAGTCTAAGTCAATCACTAGTACCTAAACAAACCTTTACAAAACAGAGGACGGAAACTGGTGTAAATACTCTAAGATCAGGCCCTGCGTTGGATATATGGGATAATTAGACTAATACTAGAGCTGATATTTACCGTTTTAGAATTTTAAGTGAGCCATATTAAATTTAATGACCTGCACTTTACTTAGGAATTTCGTTTGCCAGTGAACGAGCCACCAGCCTACTAGGGCGACTCACCATCTCGATGCTGATGTGGCCCTGTGTCTGGGGGGCCATAGCCAGAGCTGCATTCCGAAGATAATCCTGCAGGATGAGAGACGAATGCTTTATCTGCGTGGGGAGCAGCACCAAATGACAGGCATGGAATTCTCAGGAGCACCATATTTTTTTTTACCGACGGGAGCCTGATGTCTTTCTGGAAGCTTGTTGTGCACAGGAACACAGGCAGGCTGGGCGCACAGCCGAGGCCTTGTGACCTCTTGGCTCTATGTTCAGTTTGTATTGCTCTCCTCTAGAAGTCCCAGTCTGTGTGCAGTTTGTGACTCTCTCCTCCAGGGGTCCCGGTCTGTGTGCAATTTGCGTCTCTCTCATCTAGGTATCGCAGTATGTGTGCAGATCACGTCTCTCTCATCTAGGTATCGCAGTATGTGTGCAGATCACGTC